ATTTTAAAATATTGGATTTTTTTAATAAAAGCTGGGCGAGATATTTGCCAATTTGTAATTGTCATTTTTTTCCGCCAGAACTGTAAGTAGGCAGATCTTGTATTGAATTTATTTTTGCTTCACCATACGTGTCACCAAAAATACAATTATTAAAAGTAAAAAATTTCGCTATCATGTAATTCACAATTGTAATCGTTATCCAAGCAAAAAAAAATTTAATATGCTAGTTTTAAAGTAAAATTACCCAACCTTTATCTAACTATGTGCGCACACGCAAAAAAATTTAAGTTCAATAATAAGTAATTGAGGACGAAGGATCTACAAAAAAAAAATAAAGCCTAAACTGAAAACCGCGGGAACAAACTGAAAATATGACAATCATATAAGTTAAGGAAGGTATGAGGGAAGTAAAAAAATGTATTCGTTAAAAATTTTTTTTGCATGACGTACAGTTAAATTATTTAAATTATTTACAAATTATGTTAGAAAAAAGAGGCTTATACAACAATTTATGAAATAATTAAAATAATTAGGAAAGTTAAGCGACCTAAACGTCCCTATGAATTAACTTACTCGGAAATCCAGAATCTTTATTGTTAAAATTTAGGACTTAACGATCCGATGAAGGTTGTTGAAAAATTTAATTTTTTAACAAGAATTACTTATTAATAGATAAGCGATTAGACTTTTCTAAAACTAAAAATTTCAAAAAAATTTGGGACCGTTAACATCATAATAAAATAATTTTTATTGATATTTATTATTTAATCTTGGTCCTTCATTTTCGTTTTCCTGGGGTGATTTTCTAGGTACTTTTCCACCAATAATACCAAGACATTAAAGCAATAAAAAGAGATCCGTAACTAATAAAAAATGGTGCTATTTGTTGAACTCTTTGTGTTGTTAAATATTTACTACATTCAATTGATTCAGATGCTATAGATTCTGGACATTTAACGTTAATTACAAAGGAAAATATCAAAATATATAATCCTGCTAATATAAAAATTACTGTTATAAATAATGGAACTTCAAATAATTTTGTTTCACTTCCGTCGCTACTAATTGAATTATTTTCTTGATCATGTTCATGTACATTGTCCCTTAATTCTCTATGTTCTCTATGTTGAATTACAAATAATCCTATACCAGTAGCAACGTAAAAGATCCAATAACTATACATTGAAAATGATGAAAATAATTCAAAATTGGTAATAGTAAAACTACTACCGACGATCAATATAATAAATGAATTCCAAATGAATTGCAATATTAAAGCGTTAATTGAAGTATTAAAATATTCATGCCAAATTTTTAATTGTTCTGAATAAATCGGAAAAAAGTTTGATCTTGCTGTTGTAACAATTACTCTTGATCCACTATATATATTTATAAAAATAAATAAATACGAAGAGAATCATATGAGGTATTAATAATTACTTAATTACTTACCTCCATACATTTGTTGCAGCAGAACTAATTATTGAAAGCACAATTAGAAAAGTAAAGATTCTAACTATTTTCTCATTTCCACCAAATAATTGACTAAAAAAGGTTGCGGCTATCGTTTGATTGATCTTTCCATCGTTTAGAGTTTCTCCAGATATAACAGAAATAAATGCAATATTTACAAGAAGGTCTATAATTTTAAGTTTTTTTTTATATTAGCATCATAAACATGGATACTAATTTTAATCAACTTAATATACATACACAATAATGTAACAATTACAACGCTGATACTATTGCTGAAGAAAAGTTCCTTTTCCACATTCTTAAACTCACTCAACGAGTCTACAAAAAACATTTAACTTGTTACAATAAAGTACTAGGTAATTATTAATAAATAATGATTAATTTTAATGACTTATAATTTAATTCATTCCATCCATCATAGCTAAACAAAATCTAATAATGATCAACTTTTTAATACATTTCATTATGTATTTTAACTTTTTTTCAAAAATGAATAATATTTACCAATAAAATTGAAGATTTATAAGGCTGTAAAATCTGTATTCCCATCTAATGGGTTTTGCCAATTGAGTCGACTTGTTTTCCAATCTAAAAATAATCTACAAATTCCAACTATGGCAATCGTTGAATATGTGACTAATTTTATAACTGCGAGTGACTGGTTTATAAGATTTGCCAGTCTATTATCAATCATATGATATGCTGTTATAACAAATAACATTGCAATCACGATGAATTTTATAACCCTAAAGTAGATAAACTTTTAGTTGCAAACCAACTTTCAATTAGGTAAAAATATAATTATTCATACCAGAACGGAGAAAATGGAAGATTCCATCCATTTTTATCCTGTTCAATGTCAAATTGACGTCCGTTAACAGTATACCAAAAATATTGCGCAGCAGATTGTAAAACTGCACTTGTAATTCCTGGCTTAATCGCATTAAATAAATTAAAAGAATATTAACCAAATTATTAACCGATTAAACTCCGACTAATCAAAAATTAATATTAAACTTACAAAATGTACATGAAACTAAAAAGGTAGCTTATACATTTTCTTGGTTTTGGATAAGCGGTTTGTAAATATTTTGTTTCGCCTCCACTTATCTTATGTTTGACATCAAGTTCAACATAAGTCATGGATCCTGACATACAGACTATTCCACCTATAACCCATAATAATAATACTATTCCTGAAGACTTTACTGAGTTCCAAATAATTCCTGATGCAGTAACGATTCCTGACCCAATGATGCCGTTAATGTTCATGCCAATGCCATAAACACGATTTATAATCTTTCTTTTTGGCAATTGTAAATCATGTTCGTATATTTCTATTTTAATTTTGGAGATTTATTATAAATACTAGAACTTTTTTATGATTTTTTTTTTATTGAAAGACATTCGTCGGGTTTTTTAAAAATAATTTCATAATTTATATTTAATAGTGAAATCAAAGATGCAAATTTGGAATCATTTGGCATTCAAAATTTTTTGTTTGTACGTTTTTAGGAAAAAATTTAAAAAAATTTATATTTAATTTCCAACTTAAGAAAAAAAACTAAGCGTGCATGCAGTGGTGTACATTTTTAATGTCCGCAGCTGTCCCGGACATGTCCGTGCTCTTCTGCAACTTTTAAAAATGGGTATTTATTTATGCGTAATTAGGCGCTAAACATTTTTGCTGATGGATTACTTTGATCAACCTATTTTAGGTATCCGATCTTCATGCCTAAAAGAACAATTTTATAATGTAATAATGCATACAACTGCACGCGTCCTAAGATCATGATTTAAATTCTTTGATAAAATATAAAAGAAGTTTTCATTTGCAAACTAGGACTGATTTTTTGTGTAATGAATCTTTTAATTTGAAATTGCTTTAAAGAATACAGTTTCAGTTGGAACATTAATAGATGGAGAATTTTTGATTATCAAATTGATGCATATTTTAAATAAAGGTCTTTAGTTGTATACTAAAGTGTAACGGCTTTGATGTGAAAATTGTGATAAAGCAATTGATATAGACCAATAAATAATTTAATAAATCAAGTTTATTTAAAATCTATTTCAATACAATACTAATTATTTTATTTGACGTTACATTCAGATTTAGAATTGTTTAAAATTATATTTCTGAAATTTATTAATTAAGATTTATAATATAGATCAATATTTATAACAAATTTAATAGTAAATGATTTATATAATTAAATTGAAATATACTTTTAAATATAAATAATAAAACATTTTGTTAATTTATATTTTTTTATTTTATTTTATTAATAAAATAAAAATATATAAATTTTACTTAGTAATATTGAAGACAAATTTACAAATTTTCAATAAAAGTCATCTGATTTTTTTTTATTTGATAGCTGATCAATTATAGTTTTTAGATATTAAAATGAAAAAAGAAATTTTTTTAAAACATGAAAAAAATTTCTCATATTGAAGTTTAAATAACAATTTTTTTATATGTTTTTTACATTTAATATATAAAATTATATTGTCTATTACTTTACAAAATAAGTATTTTTTTAGTATTTTATAAATAGAATATTTTTAAATCATATTTTTAAAATTATAATTTATAATTGATTGGTTATTAAATAAAAAAATTTAGAGTGAATTTCATAAATGTTTATACAATCTAAAAATCTTTAATTTTATGATATATTATTAAGTAAAATTTATAAAATCTGGTAATTTATTATAAGGCAGTATATATATTATGCATTAGTATCAACTGACAGATAATATGCGTCAGATGATTAATACTGACTAAACCTTCTTTAAAGTATTATAAGATCAGCCAAAATAGGTTTATAATTTAAGCCAATTAATATTTAACGTAAATCATCATCTGAAGCATAATATATGTACTATATATCTAAAATTAATTATAAAAAATGTTAAAGTAATTAAATTTTAGAAATTTTTAATAAAATTTAAAAAATCTTTTTTATATATTTGAACTTTTGATATGTTTAAATCAAATATAATAAAATTTTAATTTTAATAAAAAGATTTTTATAATTTAACAATAATTTTATATTTATAAATATCTATATATAATTCAAACTATATATAAATATTAAAAATCAAAAAACATATATAATTACTACTATTTTAATACTTAATTATGGTCTGATGCAAAAAGGTTGATACACTAAAATCATTATACAAATTTCTCTTATGATACAAGATTTGATAATCAAATCTGGCGGGTGAACTAATTATATATAAAGTAAGAACAGTTTTTAACTTTAAAGTTATAACCGGTTTTAATCATATTTCTTTCTCATGGAAAATTTGAAACGAGATCAAAATTTTTTAACTAGCAATGAAAAAAAAATGGTGTTTTGTGTTCACTAACATTTTTTAAGTATCTGATAATGCCAAAAAAAAATTTATGACTTACCATTATGCAAGGAGGTTGCTGCGATTCTTGATATTGAAGAGGTAATAGTTGTATGAATAGTTGCTGAATATAATCAAAGTAAATCCAGAGAATCCTTACCAAAAATTGGTCGACCAAAAAAGGAGCTTAATCATGACTTGGTTGAAATTATTCGTAGTATTATCATTTCTTCTAATATTTCTGGTTTACCACTTTCAACACCTATTTTACGAAAGAAATGATTATATTTTTTCAAAATGGCAGCTCCTTCATTTACTTCATATATTGGAGTATTATTATGGTCGTGGTGAACGTCGAAATATGTTACATGAATTACCTGAAAATGTGACCTTTCGTAACATTTATTTACAATGTCAGTTTGAAAATTTACAAGGTAAAAACAAGATTCCAACTAAACCGGAGGTATTTTTAGATGAGTCTTATTGCGATTTACATCATACTACAGGTCGTACTTGGATATCAAATCATAGGGTTGTATATGAAGTTGGACACAGACCTCTAATTATTATTTTTGGTGCAATTATTGTATTGCGCAATGGTAACACTAATAAGCTTTTTGGTAAAATCATTCCTAATTCTCTTTTATTATGGGATCCATCAATTAAACCACCTTCCTCTAGAGGAAGAAAATGAGCAAATGCCGATGAATGGACTAATATTCCTGATGTTATTCAAAATTCAAATATTGTGGCAAATAATGTTGATTATGTTCACTTTCAGAATTGGCAATTTGTTCGAGTATGTCTTCATACATTAAAAGTATAGTCGCCTTTAATGGGTGGTAACATATTTGTATTGATCATCGTCGAGTACCCATCCAGACCATAAAAAATAATCTTTCTCCCCTCCACGATAAATTATAAGACATTGGTGCATTGTGTGATCAACTACAAGATACGCACCTTAATTTTTGTATGTGTTAAGGTAAACATTAACATTATTTGCAGTAAATTCTTGAAGGGTTTCTAGAAGTTTTTTACAATTTTGATTATTCCAGTTGTCATCTTGATTGAATCCCCAGTCAGTTTTGTGACAATTAAATAAGAGTTGCAACCCTTTTTTGATATAATGTATATGAGGCTTGTCAAAATGTGCAAAATCTGGGTTGAGTACATTCGCGTGTGCATAAGTTTTATACACGTTACGAGATTCATATGTGTTTAACTTGATTTGATTTTGACCAGATACGGTTTCAATCCAATGAGAACCAGTAAAAGAATATCGACCATCGGTTAAAGTTTCACGATGGCTATGGTTAGCGATATAAAACTAATGTCCATTGAGTCAATTCGTATTTTCTTTACTATTTTTTTTACTATTATTCTCATATAGTCTGATTCAGTCCCATGTTGATGGCGTAATAATGGACCATTCAATTTCGAGACGTCCTGACTTTATAACGCACTTTAAGTAACAAATTTCTCTTTCTTCTGATTTAAGGTTGTCAGGCAAAACCCTAAGGTTTCGACAGGCATCAAAATCGAAACCCATCGAAACATTTTGCCAAATTTTTTTATTAAAGGTAAAATTGCGAAAGTTTCGACGGGTGGCAAAAGTTTCGACGGTTGGCAAAAGTTTCGACGGGGGCAAATGTTTTGACG